ATATATATATGGATAGCATTCATCAAAGGGAGTTTATGTCTGTACATGATATATCTTGATTCTTCTCTTTCTCCCAATCCTCTTCCCTCCTGTAAACCTTACCTCCCCTTATGTACAAAAACTTTGTTTCCATTTTTTTTCTTCTTTTTTCCATGTTTTTCCCTTTATAGTTAAGTGGATGCAACTTGAAACAGTACTCTTAAGTGAAATAAATCAGACACACGTGTGTAAATATTTACATTGTCTCTCTAGTGTGAGAAACTGAACAGGTAAGGAACAAAATATATAATAGATAATATGAAATAAGAAACTGTTCAAAAGGAAAGGGAAACTGTAAAAGGGGGAAGTGGAAAAAAAGCAAGAGAATATATTTTTCAGTGTTCTCCCTGAAAAGAGTTAAGTGAGATGAAATATATACTAATTATTCTGACTTTTTCATTTCACAATATATACATATAAGATCACGTTAAACCCTGTATACTTTTATGTAGTTATTATTTGTTAATTAAAACTAGTTAATACATGAAAATACACAAATAATTGAAGAAATATTTTTAACAAATTTCTAAAAATGTTTCATTACTTAGAATATGCGTGGAAATTATAGAACAACAACAAAACAATTCAAAGGAAATGTGACAGGACACTTCATCAAAGAAGATGTAAAAATGGCCAACATTACATAAAAAGATGATGAAGATCATTGGCCATTAGGGAAATTCAGATTACAATGAGAATGAAATGGTAATCCAAATTTGCGAGATGGCAATAAAAATTAAATAGAAAGTTATTTGTATTTTTGAGGATGTAGAGAAATCTTTACCTTTGTAAACTGTTAATCTCATTCCAAAAGGGAGCTGTCTCTGCGGAAAATAGTCTGGTGGTTTTTCAACATGCTAAATATAGAGTTTTTAAATGATTAAGAAATTTCACTCTAGAGATATACTCAAATAATTAAACAAGTACTAAAACAGATTGCAACATGTAGCATTATTCACAATAGTCAAAATAGAGAACTAACTCATATCTATCAATAAATGAATGAATAAATAAAAGTTGACTTACCTGCAGTATCACAGATATTACTTTTCTATAAAACAATAAAATACTGGTACCTGCTACAATGTGGATATGCCTCAGAACTTTTATGCTAAGTGATGATAAATATTTTAAGGCTTTTCTCATATGAAATATTGGGGATCAGCAAATTCATAGAGGTAGAAAACCAATTCAAGGTTATCGGGTTTTGGGCTACAAGAGACATTCATTCTACATAAACGTATACTATAATCCTCCAGAAGAGTATTCCTTTTATTGCTTTAAATATTATCCTTTATATTATCTAAATGTGAAGAAACAGAAGACTATATTTTTACCTCCATTTATCCCTTCTTTGATATTTTTGTCATAATGGAGGGCCAAGTTCTGACTATAGATTGTCTCTTTTTGCTTAAGAACTTTTTAAAAACTTTTCTTAAAAGGCATATTTGCTACCTTAGAATAAAATTTTCCTTTCTATAATTTTCTGTCTTTGCTTTGAAATGATAAAATCTACAATTCTTTGCTAAGGACATTACACTAGATTAAAAATTCAAAGCAAGCATTTCTATTTTCATACTTTTGAGTTTTTCACTTTTGGTTTTCAACTGATTTTTCGTGTAATCCTTATCCTTATTCCTGCCTTGGCAATTTTTTCCTCCTTAGCTATGACTTTGTCAAGTTTTCTTTTGTCTCTAGCATTTCCTTTGAACTCGGTGCTCATTGTCCTCTCTTATGTGCTGATCCTCCAAACAGTACTGTCCATAGCCTCCAAGGCTGGGTGCCTCGAAGTCCACAACACCTGTGTCTCCCACATCTGTTCCATGCTGCTCTTTTACACTCCTATGATTGGCCTTCCCATGATCCACTGATTTGGGCAGCTGGCCTCCTGACTTTAGTTTCTGTCTTTCTGTTTATAATACTCACTTTTTCATATGTCCAGTTTCCATTAAGGCCCTTTACATATTATTCAAATATTTCAATTCCTCATTTAATAATTGCATTATCTTTAATATATGTTTCTTTTTAATGATGGATTGCTTTATCTCTTTTGAGAGTGGTTTTCTTCCTTTTACACATCCTTTGCTATTTTTGATTGAAAGCCAGGGACATTTTCTTAGGTAAACATTTCTTTATTGTGAAAATTTATGTTAATGTCACCTAAAGTATTATGTACAGATATGAGAAACTTAAAACACCCCTATTGTCCCTGTTCTTCACTCCCTTCACAACTCTGAGTTTTCCTAGATACCACCCTAAAATATGCATGTTGCATCTCTTTTAGCTGTAATAAAATTTTAATAAGAGATCTCCTGGCTTAGTGGTAAGATGTGGTATGTAGAGAAGGGAAGCATGATATTCTACTTAAATTTCAGATTAGTACTTCAGATTATCAGATAATTAAATATTAGATTAGTACTTCTGAGATTTTCCTGGAACAATGAATCTGTTATGTGACATTCAAAACCATTTCTGTAGTATTATTGCATTTCCTCTTTGATAACTTTCTCCTTCTTTAATTGCAGTATTTTCCAACCATTTCTTGAAAATGACTTCTTTGACTCAGTTTTCCTCTCTTAGGTAAGACAAGCAGTGCAAGATAGCTGAATTTGGCCAGAATTTCTTTCCTCTACTTGGATAGGTTCTGACAAAGTCATTTAGCTGGCACCATTGGTCTGTGTTATGGAGAGACTTGAAGATATACTGCACAACTGTTCCCATTCCGCTGTTTGCCAAAATCATGTCATTATATGTCTTTGTTTTTCATTTGCCACATATTCAAGTTGAAGGACACGTGGAGATATCACGGTTGAGGCAAGAATGAAGTCTCCTAGTTTAGAATTTAAGTTGCAAGTAACATAAATATAGTTGAAATTAAATTAAGCAACACACATAAAATTATTTTAATTATTCTAGGGTAATCTATGAAAGGCAAGAGCAGAAATCCAGTGTGGCTTCCTGAGTAACCAGTTTTTACATAAGAATAGAGACTGGAAAGCAAGCAAACACTTCCCCTAACACACACACATGCACACACACACACACACACACACACACATTCACTTTGTAACTACAGCTCTATAAATATACCTAGAGTCTGACTGGTGCCCAATTGTGATAAAGAATCTCATTCACATTGGAAGAAGTCTGCTATGAGCATGTGCTTGCGCATGGGACTTAGTAACCCCAGAAATACTTACTCAATTATTATTTTCTTGTTACAAAGTTAATGGATAATTTAAGAGGAATTAATCCAAGATGAACCAGAACTGAAGTACTTCTTCTCTGACTGATTCCAAGGCTGCCTATTTAGATAAAGGCTGTAAAATGAAATCAAATTTTAATAAACTGAGGCAAACACACACAAAAGAAAGAAAATGGATAAATGAAATTCCATTTATGGAAAGATGGTATAACCCTCTAACATCTGCTGTAATTATTGAAGAAATTTGAGAGAAGATTCATTGAAGAAATTACATTTGAGGTAAATTTTTCTGCTTAGAACTTTTTAGCATGGCACAAAATCTCATATTTCTGTAATTCCTACTTCAGATACTGAATTCTGAAAAACAACCATGGTGCTGTAAACATGGTGCTATAAGA